AGGAGGAGGAGGAGGAGGAGGAGGAGGATTGGAGGAGGAGGATTGGAGGAGGAGGAGGCCTGGATAGGGGCCTCCTCCTCTTGCCGCCTCCTCCCCCTGCTCCTCCTCCTCGTCGTCCTGCTCACTAGAGGCCCGTATCCAGGTCTGTTTGCCTATGCATTTCTCCTTTTGTGGAAGCCGCCAGGGGGGGCGCCCTCGTGATATCGGCGGCCGCGTTGCCTTGAAGGTAGGCCTCCTGTGGGCAGAGTCAATGTGAATCTGGCCCCGGGTCAGTTTCCCCCTCCCCCTGTTTACTAGGCATCCCAGTTGGGGTCGGAGTAGATGGGGTCCGAGGATCGCGCCGTATCGCCGATGCATCGGCGATGCGGCTCGATGTGGAGCCCGACCGTTTCCACGCTGTCGTCGCCGATGCGCCGCCGATGTCGTTGATGCATCGTCGATGCATCGGCGATGCGGCGCGATCCTCCGACCCCATGTGCTCGGGCCCCACCTGGGAGGCCTCTACTACTTCGCTTTGTTCAACTCTGTCCGTCTGCAATCGCAAACCGCCAACTGCTTCTCCAGGACCCCATGCCCTTCCCTGACATCGCTGCCGCTCCTTTTGGTTTAGTTGCCAGCTTGTCTACCAGTTCCCTTGGCCATGGTTTTACTCATTTTGCTTGTCGCGTGCCTCTAACTGCCTTCAGCTTGTTTGCTTCGGCCCTGGAACTTGCAATTCTTATGCAATTGGGCTTCTGTAAAGTTTGTGCTCAACTTTATGCTTTCCGCTCGCTTCCATCTCGCCTTCAGCTCGCCATGCTTTCTCTACGAATGCTCTCGTCAAGCCTCTTGGTGAGTGGTGCGCTTGTCTTGAGCTTGTATTCGTTTGATCCACGCATGCCTGTAGCCTTTATGCTGTTTGCCTCTAACTTGTTTCTAGTATGGCGTCGTGTTGTGCTTATTTGTATATGTGGTATATTATATGTCTGTAGATATTGCGTTCCAGTTCGGGCATGTAGCTTGGTACTAGGTGTTTCGTGCCATGACCTTTCTCATTCTCAGCTTATTCTGTTTCCGATCTAATAGAGCGCCACTGGGGGGCAGACACCGCCGCCCCAAGTTTTTGGACACGTGGAGATTTCGGGAGGCTTGCTGGAGCGAAGTGATGCCGAGCTAGTTTGTCACTTTCTGAAGAGGTGCATGCGAGGGCATCCGCGCAAGCGCGGCCTCAGAGGCATCGTGTGTAAGATGGAGAAGCTTCCGGGGCATAAGGAGGGAAGTGTGGCACAATGTGTCGCAGGCTTCTGGAGGAAGCCTGTCGGGGGAGCATTGTTGACCCAGAATGTTTTTGGGGGCCCCCTAGACCAGCCCTGGAGCACCGCCGAAAGGGCGCGAGGGCCCCAAGCATAGGCGACATGAGCCCAAGAGGGCCCCAAGAGGCTCGAAAGACTGCGAAGGAGGGCATGCAGATTGGTGCGTCCGGGAGGCTCCGAAAACGACCCCCAAAAGGAGCCGGACAGGTTGGATAATCGAGAAATATTCCGAAGCGGGATGTGGGGAGGTCAAAGGGAGCAGCAACAGTTAAGCGACGCAGAACGGCGTCGTCTGCGCCGACATTGTTGCGTAGCTCCCCGCGTGAGGTTGCGCGTAAGCGTCCTCTTCTTCAGTGTAGCGTGCCACGCCAGCGGCCCGCGGAAGCCACCGCGTAAGGGCTCCATGCCATCTCGCGCAAGACCCGTTCCTTCGCGTCTCTCAGTTCGTTTTGGGTCCGCAGGGGGCCCCCCTGGAGACCCCTCCCCAGCCTGGGCGCGCCAAGGGCGGGCCAAGAGAGTCCCCCCGAGGCGGACAAACGGGGACTGCGGTGCGCTCCTGGGCTTGCCCGTCGCTGCCCGTGGGGTCAAACCAAAAGGGCGGCCAGAGAAGCCGAGCCGGCTTTGAGAGGCCCCGGGGGAGAGTCGGCCCGAGAGGCCCCGAGAGCGTCAGAAGGCGCCCCAGCTGAGAGCTCCAGGACGCGGGCGATCGCAAACATGGATAAAGGCGGCGTGGATTAGCGGCGGGTTCCGTTCCCATGGGAAATCGCGGGTTTCCGCCGCCGAAAGAAGTGGCACCGGCCGCATTTGGGGGAGGGCACTTCCCCCGATCCGTGGATTAGGCGACCGCGCGCCAAATCCATGGATCGCTAGTCCATGTTTGCGCGCGCCCCCGACAAACGGGGGTCAGCCAGGGCGCCGGATCCGCAGGAATCTGCCGAGCCAGGCCTGCATCGGCCTGGGATTGGTGGGCCACGCGCAGAGGAAAGCCAGGGGGAGGGGGGAGGCATCTTGGAAGCACCCAGGGAGGGGAAGGAGGCGGGAAGGGATGGCCGAAGCGGCAATCATGCCGTCGAGACGCCGAAGGAAGGGCCGCCATGGGGCTCGGGAGGGGCTCGGGCGTTCGGCCCGCTGCTCGGACTTCTGCCGTGGAGCCTCTCCGTGGCCCAGGCCCGCCGTGGCCAGACGAGCTCCGTCCGTTCCGGGAAGGCCGAGGCGGCAGCGGTGCAGTCTGCGCAGTCGATCACCACCTACCAAACCACCCCAACCCAACCCGAAGGCTCAGATTTACCCTCGATTTCCAGTGGGGGGGGGTCGGGAAACATCGAAAAAACACGTGTGGAAGCCTTACCCCCCCCAACCCGAAATTCGGGTCTTCGGGTTGGGTTGGGGTGGTCTGGTAGGTAGTCAACGTGGACCGCTTCGGGGTCGGGAGGGGCTCGGCTGTTTTCGGACCGTTCCCGAGATCTGCTCGGGCAGGGACCGCCTTCGCAGGGTCCGCTCTGGTCCGACCGATCCGAGCCGAGATCGGTTCTGGCCGGTCCGATCCGATTCGGTTCCGGCATTCCGTCGATCCGATGCGGCCCGATGCTTGCATGGCGTTGTTGTGCATCTTGGCCCAGCCGATCCGATTTGATATCGATTCCGACTCCCAGCCGATGCAGCCCGATTCCAGAGCCCGGATAGCAGGGCGCCTGAAGGGCGTGGAAAGGCCTGGCGAAGAAATCTGGAAGTACCTGAAGAGAGTTTCCGAAGGACCTTTCGGAGAGCTTCCGGGCATGCTCTGCATTCCGAATCGGGCATTTTTTTCGATTCGAAGCTGACCAGTCCTGCCTTGGGCAAGGACCACCTCCGCCGACCTCTGAGCCGAGAGCCCGGATGCGCAGCCTGGCACTGGCGGGCGCTCGCGGCGGGCTGGTTGGCTCCCCTCCCGCTCGCCATTCACGCTCGTCGCGGCCCGCTGCGCGATTTTCGCAAGGGAGGTCGACTCGCCGGCAGTGTCCTCTACCCTCGGCGGCGAAATCCGAACCCCGTCTTCGCCGATGAACGATTCAGGCAACTCGATGGGCGGCGGGGGTAGGGTTCGGGATTCGTCGAAAACCTTGCGAACTCCGAACCCCACCCGCGCCTCCCATCGATTCAGGAGGATGGGTGGTTGGTAGGAGTAGGATTTGGATGTCGCCACCAATCCTCGCCCAGGCCCGCTTTGCCAACGATCAGGTCTGTCATGCCAGAGCGGTAACGCCAGCAGGGTGTATACGTTTTGCGTGTACGTGCGCGCGGGAAATGAAACCCTGATAGCTCATGTGGTCAATCCCTTTACCCTTTGCCGTGCCCCTCCACATGCACTCCGTCCCATCTGCATTGCCATCCCTCTGCTGACCCTCCTGATCCGCATTCTTCCGCCAGCGCCTATCCACATCGAAGCGTGTTCCCTCCTGACCCTCGATCCGATTCCGGGCGGCTCGGTTCGGTTAGTTTCTTATTTTCCGACGACCTGATGCGGCCCGCTGCTTGCATTGCGTTGTTGTTCATCCGGGTGCACTGTGCAGCCGATCCGATTCGATTTGGACTTCGTGTCGATGCAGTCCGATCCGACGCGAATCCCGATTCGATCCGACCTCCCGGTTCGATGCTGATTGATGCGCCAATATCCGGGTTCCTTGCCCCAGGGTGTCATTGGAGCCTGGTCTCGCCAGCCATGTGTTCCCTGTGCGAGTCCTGGCCTAGGGCTTCGTCCCCCTCCTTTCGTGCGGTCGGCGTCGCTGGAGGCTGTTTTTTTCAGGGTCTGGCCATGAGCCGGGTCATCGGGCACGACCGCCCCCCCGCCCATGGATAACCCGACCCTGTCGGCTGCGCAGGTCCGAAGGGGTGTGCGGTGCTGCCGCGCGCGGGCACACGCGGGGCGTCCCGGCGCGAAGAGGCTAGAGGCTGTCGGCCAGCACCTCCCTCGCCGCCCCCCACACCGGGCAACCCGGGCCATCGCCGAACCAAACATGGGTCTCCGTGTGTCCCCCGTAGGAGCCGTGGGAACAGGGTCGGCCACGCGCAGAGGGGGGGGTACCCTGACCTTCCAGGAGGGCTAAAAAATAGCACGCGACTTAAAAACCTATCCCAGAGCTATTCTACGTCTTGGTTTTAGGCTGTTTCGTCTCGTTTTTTAGGTTTTTAGGTCTCCAGTGCTAAAAAATAGCTCTCTGGAAGGTCAGGGTAGGGGGAGGGGGGAAGGCTTCGTGGAAGCACCCGGATTGCAAGACGCCTTCCCCCCTCCCCCTGCCCCCTCGTGCGCGGCCCGTGCTCGCCGCCAGGGGCTCCAGTGTGTCATCGCTGACGCTGTCGGCCGTCTGCCGCCCGCCGTCCCGCTCGGGCACCTCTCGGGCCAGACGAGAGGGGGGGATGGGGACAGGGGGGGGTATGAAACTTGCTGCATGTAGCCGGCTTCGGTCCCACCGAGGACCCCACTCCTCGGTGCATGGCCGCCTCCGGCGCCAGGAGGCGCCAGGAAAATCAGCTACGTGAGCTGATTCCGGTCCCACCGAGGACCCCACTCCTCGGTACATGGCCGCCTCCGGCGCCAGGAGGCGCCAGGAGAATCAGCTACGTGGGCTGATTCTCCCCCCCCCCCCCCGCTATCCCCCCCTTTCGCCCAGCCCGAACCTCGCCCGCCGCCCCGCCTGCGTTCGGCGGCGGCCTCTTGGGGGCGACCAGAGTGGCGCCCGGGGCCTCGCGGCCCTGGTGTTGAGGGCCGAAGCTGCGCGGCAAACAAACAAAGTAGGATCTGCGGAGGTGCAGCGAAATCAGACGCTCACGGTTTTTTTTTTTAGGAGGGGGGGGGCGATCAATGGGGGCAGCGAGGGCTGCCCTAGATGCACTGGTCAGGCTGTGCACCACCTGTCCGGCCCCGCCGCCCCGGCCAGCCGCCAGGGGGAGGGGGGGGGGTTGAAACGCCGAGCGCGGGCAAGGACGCCTGTCGATTGGGGGGAATACCCCGGAGGGGAAGAGAGGGGGAGGAGGCGGACACGTTCCTCTGCGCGGGCGTGCGTGCACCATGCAGCATGCCGGCCGCCATCTGGTGGGGCAAAAGGTGGGGACCTGTGAGGGATGGGGTCCGAAGGACGAGGCGCCTCAAACAGTGTAAATCCACCCTTCGACCCCTTTGTTTCTCCAGTGCCCCATCCCTCAGGACCTTCTTTTTTGAACCGCTGAAAAGAGTCAGGAGGGGAAACAACACACAGACACAATTCATCGTCGATTCCCAGAAAAATATGGGAAAATATGGGAAGTGGGGAGGAAGACAAAAACCCAGAAAATATAGGAAAATATGGGGGATCCTGTGATTTGTGTGTGTGTGTGTGTATTGATCTGTGTGTCCCAGGGCCCCTTCAAAGAGGGAGGCCAGGAGTGGGAGCTAACCTGGACGCTCTCCGATACGTTTTTTTCCGGCCGCGGCCCCAGGCCTCCCGAAGCTTTCCTGGGGATCATCTTTCGCCCCAGAGTCGGGGCTCAAGGGTCGGGGGTCAGTGCAAACTCAGGCGATCGCAAACATGGGTCAAGGGGGCGTGGATTAGCGATGGGTCCCGTTCCCATGGGAAATCGCGGCACCGGCCGCATTTGGGGGAGGGCACCTCCCCCGATCCGTGGATTAGGCGACCGCGCGCCAAATCCATGGATCGCTAGTCCATGTTTGCGCGCGCCCCCGACAAACGGGGGTCAGCCAGGGCGCCGGATCCGCAGGAATCTGCCGAGCCAGGCCTGCATCGACCTGGGATTGTTGGGCCATGTGCAGAGAAAAGTCATGGGGAGGGGGAAGCATCTTGGAAGCACCCCGGCTGCCGAGAAGGCGCGGGCCTTCTCTGTGTGGGGGGCGGCAAAGAAGGGGGTGATGACTCGGGGGGTGTGGATATCATGGCGTGGGCCATGACATCTCCCCAGATTTCATGGCGCCTCGTCTTACTTCATTGCGTCCCTGGCCCCCCCCCTGGGCCGCGCACATGCCGCCGGCGGTGATTTGCGCCCCCCCCCCCTCTTGGACGCTCCCCTCTTGGCCGCCCTCGACTGTAGATGCAGGGTCAGCGCCTTCTCATTGACCCTGGCTTGCGCGCAGGATCCTGCAGGCTCCTGCAAAGCCTGACTGGCCTTGGCTTGCATTGGCCCGGGTCAGTGGATCCCGACAGAGATCCATGCTTGATGGCCGCGGGGCCCGAGAACGGGCCCCGGGCCCAAGATCGAGGGACGACGCCGGGATTGGAAACATCGGATCGTCGGAGCCAGGCGGTTGGTGACGGGGGGGGGAGGCTACGTGGGGGGTGCAGGACAGGGCCCCAAAGGGGCCCGTGGCCAGCAGGGGCCCAAAAGGGGACCTCCCTCGCCCTGCATTTGGGTCACCCCGCCCGTCGGAGACCTGGGAATCCTGCGGGGTCGAGGCTGGCCGATCCCGTCTGGCGCCTCGGCCCGCGGGCGCTCGCAGTGCGGAGGGAGCTCTCTCTCGGGGCCTGCGCTTCGGAGGCGCGCCTGCCCCCCCCCCCACCGAGGCGACAGCCCGTTCGGCGGCCTCATCCGGACCGTCGGAGACCGCTGGGTCTTGGATGGGTGGTGGGCTTCGCCACTGGGGAAGCGGGTCCTGAGGGAAACGGGTGCTGGCTTGTCGCTGTGTCGGGCTCTCGGTCCCTCCACGGGCCCCGAGATTGTCAGAAAATGACGCAGGATGAGAAACGCGTCCTGGGGGAAGGCACCAGTGTCCAGGACCCGTTTCCCTGAGGACCCGCTCCCCCCACGGTCATCCAGGCTTCCCAGATGGGGTCGGAGTAGAGGGGTAACGGAAGATTGCGCCACGTCGGCGATACATCGGCGATACATCGGCGATGCAGCGGCGATGCGGGTCGACGCCGATGGCGCCGATGCAGCGCCGACGTCGCCGATGCACTGGTGATGCATCGGTGATGAATCGACGATGCGGCGCGATCCTCCGACCACATCTGTTCCGACCCCATCTGCGATGTCTCCATGAGCGGTGATCGGAGCAGGCTGGGGGTCCGAGGTAGCCCGGCATTGGCTCTGGCGGGCAGGAAGGGGAAGCGAGGTTCGAGGTTTTGGGCTCGAGACAGTTGTCCCTGAGGTCATGGCGTCTTAAATTTTTTGAGCCGGGCGTTTGCGTCAGGTTTCGGCCCTGGGACCTCCACAGATCGATGTGGCTCGAAGAATGGCACAGAAGGATGGGGTCTAGGGCTCCGGTCGTGTTTTTTTGGGGGCGAGGTCTATTTTTTTCCGCGCCGTCGGATCCCAGGGTTGTGCCTTTTTCAGCCTCTCGGTGCAGTTTTTTGATGCCCCAGGGCTGTCAAAAGTGGAGCCAGGGTGAAACATTGCACCAGATGGACCCCAGTCCGGATTTGCCCTGGGCTTAAGTCGGGCCTGTACCTCTACAGGGAGAAAATTCAAACATAGTCAAACATATTCTGGGGACGACGATTATTTTTTGACTATTTTGGATTTGGGGGTACTGAAAACATAATAAATAAATAAGCATTTCTTTCGCCCAAATCCCGCTGTAGGGGGATAATTAGGCCTGACCTAACCCTGGGCTTCTTTTCTTCATAGGCGGGGAGCGGGGAGGCAAAGCGTTTTGTCGTGTCGTAAAGACTAAGACGTAGAGCTCAACGATTCCTCCCCTTCCCCGGCCGCATCGTGATGCCCTGGAACAGTGCTCGAGCATTTCAGACAGACTGCACAGGCAGGTTCGCGCTCTCATTCGTCATTTGTTTGTCGGTACTAGTACGGGGCGCAAGGTCCTGTATGACCTCGTTCAACGTATTCGGATAGTCAAACGCTCCGGTTTCCTCGTTGTCTGTGTCGTGGTTCGTTCAAGGGTCAGCCAGCTTCGCATCATATTATCGCCACTGGTCGGTAGAGCATGGTTTGTCAGCATGCTCGATTGGAGCAGCCACCCTGCTCGAGACGCAGGTTGGCGATAAATACCTGCCGAACTCACAGCTTTGCTTCTGACACTTAATCTCGACGTTGTATCCGTCTTTGCTAGCCGCTGCGCCGCAGCCTATGCCGTGTGCCAATCAATTCGATGATGCTCGAGACGCTGTGATGCACACTCTCAGCTCGAACCAACCGCTTTGAACTCCCCGTTGTTCGAAGATGCTCTATTTTATTGCCGCCACCCCGGTCACAGAGCTCTCGCGAGCAGTCAGCGGAGCCTGCCACTCGACGGCGGCCCGCGCGCATTCGTGCCCAAGACGCCACGCACCAGGCTCCCGCCCACCGGCGGTACCCACACCGTGCTTCCCGCGGGCCCCGCCGGCGAGTGGCGAGGAGCGGCCGGGACCCCCTCCTTGGAGACAGTGGCACCCAGAGAGCCCATGGTCCGCACCTGGATCTGGTAGGTTCCTGCGGCGTTGGCGCGCTGGCGACGCCGGCGAAGGCGTTTGAGGTTGAGAACCCTGCACTCTCGTGGCACCGGGGGCGCAGGAGCACCGCACGGTAGAACCGACGCGGAAGTACCGAGCAGGGTATAGCCAGGATTCCAGGTAAGGGGACACTGTTAGTGGTATGGCCCGGGAGCCCCGCAATTGGGCACAATCACTAAACCAGGTCTGCCGTAGCTAGCGTTTTTTCGTGTGACGGCAGTTCTGGTCAGTGGAACGGGGCGGGGGGGGCGCCCCCAGTACACATCGGAGGTTGATAGACCTCCTACCCTGACACGTCGATTAGCGAATTGGCCCTTTTCGGTTCGCGAGAGGGCGTCGTGGCCGTCATTTTTGCGGGTCCAGGTCCGTCGGCCCTAGGCCGTTTTCACGATCTGGAGGTTTACTAAAGAGAGGTTTGTCCACCGCCGAATACATCACTAAACCAGGTCCCGCTAAGCCCAGTTCTGCCAACGCCCGACCGAGGGACACGGTAACGCCACAGGACCAGTTGGAATTCAACCTTGAACGATCGGGGTCACGATCGATTCAAGGTTGAACGATCGACGCTGTGTCAAACACTTTTGAGCGCGCCGACGCTGCACGAATCTGCCGTAGCGATGCCGTTTCTCTACGTGCTCAGCTTCCCATGTGTGGTGAAAGCTGGTGCGTTGGAACGCTCATGAAGCTGAGTTCCCCACCTTCTCTCCAGGAGGAGTGTGCGAGGTCAATGTTCTGTTCAGCATGGTCTGGGCGTTTGACATCAGCAATTTCGCTGCCATGGTCAAATGCAGACCTCATCCCGACATGAGTGGCGCTGACATTCTGTGCTAGCGACACAATCCGCTCACCGTCTCATCGCGCGATGCGTCGGTGTTCATTTCCCATCACCCATTACGCAGCCTCCACATCTGTTTCTCACTTGGGAGGGGAGGGCTCGGCTTGAGCCAAGGGGGAAAGGGCTAGACATCCGATACACTACTTCCGATTCCCAGAACTTCCGATTACTCTCAGCACATATACTCTGTTCTTCTTGTCTCTCAGCGGCCGGCTGCAGGTGCGACTGCAGCGAACACAGCGTAAGCCAGTTTTCTCACTACGCCAACTCGTCCGCATACGCGGCAAGCTGGGACGCCTTTGGGAGGGGAGCACAACCAATGTCAGCGGCTTGTCCTTCGCAGGCAATGGGCGGTCTCAATGATGCTTCGCCAACCTCGTCCTGAGGTGTATCTCGAACAGTTCGCCAAGCTATTGGACACAAAGCTGAACATTTGAAGACGTTACATGGCATTTCAGGCACAACAGGCATCAATTGCATCATTGGAGTTACACGTGAAAAACTAGAGGAGCAAGACACGAAGAAGGAGATGAGGGATTTTAGGGGCCACGTTGATGCAGTAATGCCTTCTTTCGGCTTGCCCGTTCAACCTCCGCGTTCTTCAGGCCACGGGGTAAACAACGCAACGGTCTTCTTCTGGGGCCTCATCAGCTTCCACAACAAAGACGATGCAGAGCACTGTCTTCTTGATATGTTTTGGGCGGCATATATCCAATCACCTTTGGAGACACATGTAAAGGGAAACGAGTTTCAAGGGACACTTCTGGGGAAACACGGGCTGTCATCTACAATATGAAGAGCGCAGATATGAACAACAGGGGCACGAAGACTTTCGCTAAATCGGACCTCCCTTTGGAGACACGGGTGTTGCGATCTTTTCTTTATAGTGGCAAGCAATCGTTGATGAGCGCAGCTTTGCCAGGAAAGGTTTTTTGTAGGATCTTGATTTTCATGCTCTCTTTTGTGGTGCCGAGGTCGTTTCACAGCGAACGTCGGCGAGCCGAAGCGTCGCACAGTTCGAATTTAGATGGGCCGAGTATTTGGATCACAGCGACGATTTCGAGAAAGACCGCGCGAGCTTGAGGAGAGACTAACATTTCGCAAAACACCAAATGGAGTGGGACAGCGCAAGTGTCCACGCCCAGTGTAGGTCATGCCCCCGTCGAGCAGTACGTTTCACCCGCCGTCCACGCCAGCGCAAGAATACGCGCGTCCACGCCAGCGCAAGACCGTTCGACATGCTGACCGAATTGCGCGGTTTGTCTTGGGATTTTGTTTGCTTTAGTGAGACGAGGGCCACTTCTGCAGATGATGCTCCCCAAAACGGACATCGGCTATTCAACCACCGTGGGGAAGCCTATGGTGGCGTGGTTATCCTAACCTAGTCAAAACAAAACTTCGGAGCTAGAGTTGTTGGGATTTGCTTCGTTATGGAATTTCGTGTTATCTGCCTCGTGCTGGGGACAGCACAGCAACACCTGAGGAATGATGCCACTATCTTGGTGAACTTGTGTGCTGAGCATCGATGTTCAGCTCTTGTTTTGTCCTCGGCGGGGACTTCAACGCGCAACTATATCGTGGAACGCGCTCCTGTCAAACTACCACGATTTATTGAGTGTTAACTTGTTATCAGTTTACATGTTGCCTACGAAGTAGATGAAGACAACCAAAGCGACGCATGCACGCGAAAGCGGCGTCGGCATCGTATGACACATTGATTTTATCCTTGTCGGCCCCGGTGGGTCTGAGACGCAACGGCATAGACTGATTCGGCTTTTGGTTCCGATCTAAAAACGATGAGAGCAATTCTTGTCCAAGATGGGCGCCGTGGAAGACGTGGCCGGACTAGGGAAACGAAACCCGAACAACAAGTTTTTATACCAACGCCGCAATTTCGATCGCTGATGGCCGAGGCGCTGGACCAGGCAAACCTTGGGACTGTGGAGCAAATCGAAAACATTGCCGCGACATCTGCTGAATGCTGCGGGGTTGCTGCTCTGGGCTGCTGCTCTGCGGGGCATCAGAAACGGCGCATTGTTGACAGGGCTCAAACACGAACGAAAATCGCGCAGAGACAAAACAAAATAAGGCGCAGCCGACTCTCCAGGGGCATCCAGAAAGAAACGCGGAAACTGACGCGGCAATTCCAGACGGGGAAAACGGAACATATTCTACAGAGTTGCCGCGGTATCTCGGATTTCGGCTCGATGCATCGATGCTCTAGCGAGCGGCAAGCGCCAGCGAACAAACTGCTGGGAGCCATGGCGGATTTCATGGAAGAGTTGTTGGAGAGCGACGGTGGTTGTCCCGAGTTCTCTAAGGAACTCTTTTGCATGATCTTTGAAATCAGTTCAAGAGAGCTCCTGGATGCTGCCCAGAGGTTGGCCAGAGGAAGATGCAAGGATGCAGCTGGAATTTCGATCGAGATGATTGCAGGTGCAGGCCTAGAGCTGCTGCCGTATTTTACCAAAGTCTTCAACAATATTTTTCAGAAAAGGCCAGAAACCTGATGATTGGCACGCCACGTTCTTCAGGCTGCTCCCCAAAACGGATGATCTGACAGATCCGGCGAATTGGCGTCCGATTGCGATTTTACGTGTGTTGTACAAAGCTTGCAAGAGCAGCAAACAGACGAACAAATGGAATTCATGCCGGACAGGGGCACTGAGGACGGTTCATCTGATTGCGTTAACGAGGTCAATCGAATTCAACATGCCGTTGTTTTTCGCGAGCCTGGATTTAAACGAGGCATCCAACGTAATCCAGTGGCTGCAGGTCTTCGAAGCTCTTGAGGTGCAGGGTGTATCTCGGCCATGCTTCGCGCTCGTGGCAGAGATCCATGGCCAAAAGGGCCAGCAGAAAAACCGGCGAGGCATACGGCGGGGTGTTCGACAAGGTGGCGTTCTGTCTCCGTTTTTCTTCACCGCTGCTGGAAGCGTCGTCTGGCTGCTCGCGGCATCATGATCGATCCCGGTCTATCTGGTTGTCGTTTGACTCGCGTTAGGTTCGCCGATGGTTTCCATAATATACGCCACCAGCTTGAAATAATTGACGTTGGTGTTAGATTATCTTGCCGAGTTGTATTAACTTTGGGCAACGACTCCGTCGACGGTGACAGCCAAATATTTGTCGATGCAGCGGGCGGTCTCATTGAATTCGCCAGAGAGGCGATTTCCACGTGTACCTGGGCTACAAGTGCCCGGGCAACCTAAAGACTAGGGGACAAATGATCGTGGCAAACCGGCTGCGATGCGCGTGGGCGAAGTACCGCAAGTTCCGGCTTGCTCTGACCAACTGGCTTGTGGATCTGTTTATCATATTTCGTCTCTTTGACAGCATCGTCCCGCCCACTGCGCTGGATGGCCTCGCGACAGCTCCCCTGACAGCTGCCGACTTTGACAAGCTCGCTTCCACGCAAAGACACATGATGAAATGCTTGGCTGGCTTCGTTAAGCACGACGTGGATGAGTGGTCAGATATGTACAGGCGTGTTCGAGACAACATCCAACAACAACACAGCGCCTACCCATTCTCTTATGGGCAGATGAGTTGCGCAAGATGAAGTAGAAAACCACACTCAAAGCTGCAATGCCGTGGGCGGAACGATCTTGTGCATACGGTTGCCAAGTGGGGCGCCAGCGACGTCGCTGATTCGAAGCTGCTTGCAAGGCTGAAGCGTTCTAGAGGCAGGCCATGCACGACTTGGGACCGCTTCTGATTAACAGTTTCCCAATCTAGTCCAGTTTAGGACCAGGCCTAGTGCTCGATCGGGGAATGTGTGTGTGTGTGTGGGAATAGAGGGCAGGGGAGAGGAGGGCAGGTGAGGGGAAGGACGGGAGAGGGGGCTGGAGTGGGAGGGAGGGGAGGAGAGTAGCAGGCGATCTTTCGCCTCCACTCCTGAAGTTTACCGCGGAAAACTCGAGGTTCAGAACAGGAGGGGACATCGGGGATACAACCCAGGGAGCAGGTAGGGTACAATCGACCCGCATCGTAAAGGATGGGCAACCTTCCCAAGGGTACCTTTGCATCCTTGCACCTTCGGGTCATGCTTAGCGACTCTCGCTGGCCAGCTTCGTTTGAAAGATGTTAACGTGGCCCTCCAAGGCCCTTGCGTCCTTACCGCGCATCCGGATCGTACGGGTTGATTGTGCATCCTCCGCCCAGTCGAGAGTCCTACGCAGTCGCGGAGGATAAGCGTCGCCATGCCTCCCAATTGGCGAGGGAGCGCGGGTCGGGAGGCGCGGGGCTCTCCGCGGGGCTCCGGGAGAGTGTGAAGCGGCCGCTGCGCACCCCGCGTCTGGCGTCGTCTCCTCCGCGCGTTCCGGCTCAGCTTGTCGGCGCAGAGCTCGGCGGCACCGTAACGGGTACTCTTCGAGGGGGATTTTGGAAAGTTGCCGAAAGTTGCTATTTGGGGGCCTCTTTCTGGCACTGCAGCCTTTCCCACATCTGGGAGGGTTGGGTTCGCCGGTCACTGGCCAAAGTGCCCGTCAGTGGACTCCCCGTTCGAGGGGCGCTGAAAAACCATGTGCGCTGCGCGCTGTGTTCTCTCTGTTCTGAGTCTTTGTGAGCCAGCACGATAGGCTCGTGCCGTGTCGACGCGGCGGCGACCCCAGCGCGGGCGTTCGAGGGTGAGCGCCCTCAGATGGCAGGAATCGGCCGACATCGAGCGATATGCGCCACACCAGGCTGGATATGAGCTGGATACACACATCTTTCAAGCTCTCGCGCCCTCTGTGGCGGTGAACGCATGTGTAACCAGCATGTCGCCTCCGGATGTGAGTCTTTTTTTTCTCTTTTTCTCTCTCTCTCTCTGTTTTGCGTTCCTGTGATTCCGTGCAAGTCAAAGGAGACAAGGATGACTGGTTCTCCAGGGGCGCCCGTTACACTCCTGCATCCTCGGCCCGTCCTTGGCCTCCATCTTTGGCAGTATTCGCCCCGAAGGCTTCCCCCTGGGCGTCCAAGCTCCTGGCACTGCTTGCCGCGAATTCCTATGGCTCTGTCGCGCTGTAGCCGTTCTCGGAGGGCCTGCGTCATTCCGCCGAGCCGTCCCCTTTTCCCTTTTGCGCCTGCCGCGAGGCTCCCCGAGTCTGTGTGTGTGTGTGTGTGTGCGTGCGCGTGTGTGTGGGGGGGGCGCGCGCTCGGAGGCCTCGGGAGGCGGCCTCGTTGGTGGGCCCTCGTCGGACCCACGGGGGGCTTCTGGGGGGCCCTCTGGGGGCCGTCTCTCCAGCTTGAGCCCGGGGCCCGGAGGGCGCCCCACTTTTGTGCGCCCCGTTCTTCTGCTTCGCAGTCGCGATGCGTTCCGTTTTCCGCTTCTCACAGCGCCCACGCGTATTTCCAGCTGTTTGGCTCTGCTGCGGGCGGGCTGGCCTGGAAGGGGCGGTCGCTTCTTGTTTAGCATTCTTTCTGGCAGCAGTTGGGCTGTCCCCTATAGGTGGGCGTTGCTGCGGGCTGGCTGGGCTGCGGCCCCAGCTCGTGGTGGCCGCAGTTCGTCGAGCTCTGATGCGGCGGAAGAACGGCGGAATCCACAGCAGGGTTGGCCTGGAGGCGGGCCACCAGGTTAGCGGTGTGGTGCGCTGTGTCTTGGGACTCGATGGGATGCCGAATGACATATTAGTACGATGTGTCCTCCTTGGGGGCATGTGTCCAACCAGTTCATATAGGACAACCATCTTATAGTATATCGTCACCCGAGCGGTATGGCCACAGACCGCCTGCCACCGAGCACATAGCATGAGCATGCTTGGGTGAAGCCGACTTGAGCTTTGCAGTCGCAGCAGCTTGGCCGTCGCTTGGGCGCAGCAGGTCCCTTTCGCCACGCACATGGGCCTCATGGCGTCGGCCGGCGAGCCCCGCTGGCGCGGCCGCGG